CACACACACACACACACACACACATTTACACTCTCTTTATAGAGGAACCCGCATTTACGTGCCCCGAACAACTCTTGAGCTGCTGCTGCTGCTCCTTTTCGCATATCGCAGCTATTGTCTGCGCTCGTTAGGTAAACATTTCTATAGGTAGTTCTTGGAGATTTCCGATTACCTTTTACTGCGCAATCAGTTTGGGCAGCTGAAGCACATGTCTAGCTTATCTAACAAAAGGATCGTTTTTTTTTTATAGATCTCTAAATGATAACAGCTGTAACTTTGTCTTTTTTTTTACTAGCGACTAATTGGTTCTTGGAGTATTTTACATTGCATAAAGATATATACCCCATATAACGTCTTTCTGCCTCTAAGCTTAAATTCAAGTTCAACCAAATAAAAAAAAAAAGCTTGCCTTCTAAACTTTGGCTCACTCACTCGCATATATCCCATATTATTTGTTTAATCTAGAAACTATGTTACTCCCAGGGGCTTATATACCTTACTCTTCTATCTCATGTTGTGCATTCGGGATATTCCGTAACTAAAAACTTGCCAAGTATTCGTTTTGACTAGTTCCCTCAGCTGAGCTATGCACTTCCGAGGCACTTAAACTGGTTAGTGGGATCCACGGGAAACCTTAGAAACAACCACGAAAATATGCCACAGAAAATTAAGTTGAAGGACTTCTTAGCTAGTTTTTGGATGGATCTTCTTAGGTTTCACAGTCGAACTCTTAATTGGATTGCTGACAATTCAATTAGTTTGTCAAAATACAAAATGTGATATAGGGGCCATATACTATTTTATTTTGTTATGTGAGATGGAAAGTCAAATGAAATATATGATATCAAATATAAATATATAAAGTATATAAGAAATACAAACGTTGTTAATACTTTTCAGTCAAATTAGAATTTCTTAACAATTTAATTAACTTAACTAACACTTAACTATGGAAGCAGTTGAACACACTACACATGAGATCTGTGTATCTAAATAGATATTTTGACTTCTTTAGTCGGTTAATTTGTATCAAATAAAGAGCTCTAAACGGGCAGACACGACTTTTAGGATACCCATTAAACTATTCATGTAGTTAAATACTGCTAAAGCTAGGAGCTGTAGTTCTTGAACCTACTTGTATCCTAACAATTGACAAATTTGATGTAAGAATAATGAAGCTCGTTAATGCTGAGTGTGATGAAAGTATCTAGCTATAGAGCTATATAATATAGATCTTGATTAGATTTGGCATATATAAACAGCATAGCTTAATTAGTAAATGCCGTGTTTAGTACATACATTTTGATAAACCAAAAGGTATTCCATAGAAGTACCTACTTTTCTACCGATCTAAGTTAGCTTATGATAAAGTGTTGCGATCTAATATAAAATTCGCTGCAAGGCTATAAAAATGCACCCCAATTAGTTTCAGTTGGCATAGTTCACCCCAAGTAAGAGTTAACGATCGTTGCGGCACCACCTGCCGTGCGCCTTCTCTGCGAGTGCAGCCCCTATATGACACCCCCGCCATAAAATGAAAAAGAACTACAACCCGCCAAACAAGCTGAAAGCCTGGCATAATGCCTAAATGATCGAATGACTGAATGACAGCGCCATAAAGCAGCAGAAACTTCAGTTTCAGTCATTCATCTGTCTGTCTTGCCTCTCGCTTCCCCTCGCTCTCCCTCTCCATCTCCCTCTCTCTCGCTCTCGCTCACTTTTTATCAGCTTTGCGTGTGGCTCTGTTGTCTGAATTGCACCTGGCCTGCAATTTGCATTATTTTTACCGTTTACACATGGCCCTTTAGGTCGATCGGTTGCTGGGTTCCTTTTTTCTTCGACTGATCCTGCCTGGTTAGCTAGCCCTCTCTTCCTCTCTCTCGCTCTATTTAATTCTAAGCAGCTGTCGCTTGCCGCCGCGTGCCTAATGCCATGTTTGGGTTGTTATTATTTTTGTTTTTGTTGTTTTTTTCTGGATCTGCTACGGTTCGATAAGAGAGGCGCGTGGCCAAACGGGTTTACCGACCCAGCCCAGCCCGTTCCCGCCGCCGTTGCCCCTGGCCTGGGTCTGGTTTTTGAGCCAGCTGCTGGGCGCAATTTTTTGGCTGGCAGGTGCACGAAATATTATTGATACGAAAAATGCGTGAACCCTGCCGCCGCTCAGCTGGTAATTAATATGCCACGGCCTCAGTCTCAGCCGAGAGACTTAGGTTTTATGTTATTTTTTGCACCTTTACCTAGAGTCAGGCAGGCTCCCGGATCAAGCTGGCCGGCCGGCTCATTAGTGGTCACTGCGTTCCTCGGGCGTAGCTCAGTTTATGTGGTTATGCCTCAGCTGTAATTCCTTGGGCAGGACCTGCACTTAAGAGGCATCGACACGGAAGCCTGCTCGACTCGAGCGTGTCCAGTGTTTGCGCTTTGTAATCTAATTTCGAGGCACCTTTTCTAAGCAATTAAATTACCTTCGATTGGCTTTAAAGGCTGAGTGGTCGACTAGGCAATACCCTATGCTGTTTTATTAGTGTAAAAAAATAAAAATAATGTTTTTTTAATAATTGTTTCTTTAATATTTACACTTTTTCAAATACTACTTTTGCATTAGGTGAAAATTTCCTTAGTCAGGAATTCGATTCTCGAACCTTGTTGATCATTTACACTTATCCTCTCTCACACTCTCGGTCTCCGTTACTCCCTCTTTTAGCCCACGTCTAGCTCTTGTAAAAGCTATTTAGCTCCTGCAGCTCTCTTTATTTTCTCTGTCCTTCTCTCACTCTCATTGATTCCCTCATTTAAGCCCATGTTTAGCTCTAACTAAAGCTTCTGCAGCTAAAACTCTCTCTCTCTCTCTCTCTCTCTCTGACTCTCTCTCTCTCTCTCTCTGTCTCTATCTCTCTCTCTCTCTCTCTCTATCTCTGTCTCTCTCTCTGTCTCTCTCTCTGTCTCTCTCTCTCTCTCTCCCTCTGTTTCTATTTCTCTCTCTCTTTCTCTCTCTCTCTCTCTCTCTCTCTCTCTCTCTCTCTCTCCCTCTCTGTCTCTATTTCTCTCTCTCTCTCTCTCTCTCTCTCTCTCTCTCTCTGTCTCTATCTCTTTCTCTCTGTCTTTATCTCTCTCTCTCTCTCTCTCTGTCTCTATCTCTCTCTCTCTCTCTCTCTCTGTCTCTCTCTATCTCTTTGTCTCTCTCTCTCTCTCTCTCTTTTAATGCTATATCTCCATCGCCAAATTATAGATTAACATCTCTCTCTCATCTTCAACACATTTCTCTAATCTGTCTCTCTTGTTTTTCTCTCTCTCATTGCAGCCTCTGAATGAGGATAAATTCCTGTGCTTCAGCTGCAACAATTGGCTGATCAACTGGCACTCGTTGCAGGCGGTCAACAGCAACGATGCGGAGAGCCAGAGTCGGAGTCAAAGCCCTTCCCACATGGGCAACCACAGCAGCGCCGGAGTCGTGCAGCAACAACAACTGCAGAAGGGACTGCCGCTGGATCGGGCCAAGCTGCGGCCGGTGGCGCAGGTGCGTCCGCAGCCGCAGGCGCAGATACTCGTCCAGCCACAGGTCCAATTGCCCGCCGCACAGATCGCGCCACCGCCCGCCATCAGCTACAACAAGCGTCGCTTTGGCCGACGCACTGCAGCATCCAGCAGTGGGCGTGGCATGCGTGGCAAGATGCTGCGCCACAGCAGCAGCTGTGCGTGCCGCAAGTGCCGCGACTGCGAGAACTGCAAGTGGCGCACGCTCCATCGACGCAGCCTGGCTAAGGTGGCGCAGCTGCAGCGCGCGCTGTGCCGGCAGCAGCAGCAGCAGCCGAAGCAGTCAAAGCAGCCGGAGCAGGAGCAAAGACTAGTCAAGGCGCCCGCCACGCCCACTGGGCAGCCGAAGTACCAAAGAATGCCAGCGCCGCGCGTCGATGGCAAAGTGGTGGCCATGTTCCGGCGACTGGGCACCACGCTGAGCACCGAGCAGGAGCAGGAGTCGCAGCTGGCGTCGCAGCAGGAGACGCTGGCCACGGCGCGTCCGCCGCTGCGCATCATGAGCCCCGCCAAGCAGCGTCCACGTTGGACGCGCGCCCTCGACGAGGATGAGGTGCTGCTGGAATTCGATAGCGGCATATTCGAGGTGCTGCCGGCAGCGCCGCTGGCGAGCACGGCGCGTCGACGTCTGCGCTATCAGTTGAGCAGCGAGACGCAGGCAGCGGAAGTGCAAGCGGCAGCGGAAACGGAAGTGCAAAACGAGCTGGAAAACCGCAAAGTAACCCACCAAACCGAGCTGAAACTTGCAGGGCTGCAATTGCCACAGGGACTGAGCATTACGTTGATCTAAAGGCAGAAGCCCAAAAAAAGAAATAAAACATAATAAAGCAACAACAAATGAATATTAGTCAAATTATATGCACAAACAAATGCGAGCATTAAAATAGTCTTAATTAATGTTTAATTTATATTGTACCTCGAATAAATTTGTAATTGTTAGTCAATATATTAGCGCAAACGACAAGACCTAAGAATGTTAAGTTAATATGTGTATGAACAAAAACTATATTTAATATATGTATATTAGACCTAATTGGAAAACAAAAAATCGGAAAAAACCCCTTAGACCCAAACACAACCTTCCAAAAAAGCAATCGCGTTAAACTCGTAGTAGAATTTGTTTGCATTTGCCATGTTATAGCTACAAAAAAAAAACAGAAGTATTTAAAAAATATAATATATAAATAAAAACAACTAGCACAACTACAATCAGAATTTTTCTAAGCTTTTATTTCAAATTTAAATTCAAATTCCTAACTGCCAAACAGTTACGTAGCTGTGGCGCCGCCGCTCAAAGTTTGCACAGCCGAGCGTTGCCAACCACTGTTACTTAACATTAACAGCTGCCTATCGATATATTGCCAGCGAGCAATATGACCGTATATCGATATGCACAGACCATGCCATGCATTTTTTCCTCTTCTGTGTCTTTTCAGTCTTCTTTTCGTTTTTCTTGCGCATGGTTCGTTGTCGTGCTCGAGTCTTGGCATTTTTGCATTAAAACGCGCTCTCGGCGCTTGTAAACCAACAAAAGTTAAACTGTTCTGCAAAGTGCAGCGTGCTTGGCTGGTAATTATGCCTAAATACATACAATTTTAATTTGTGTTACGTGCTTAACTAAATTTAAATGCCAACCATTAAAAAAATTGGTGTATATCCAAATTAAAAAGAACCAGTAACAAGAAGTTGCTGAAAGCGAGTTGACATTGAAGAGCGCGCGTGTGTGTGTCTGTGTGAGTGTGCGAAATTCTTTGTTTTTATTCATATTTAAATACGCGCAAAATTAGATTTGCGAAAAATAAAACAAATCAAGCGAAGGCAGCAACAACAACAACAATTGCAGCTCAAACGGCAGCGCGTGCCTTTTGATTTTTCATTAGCTGTTGCATCTCATAAAAATCAATAAAAAAAAAACTGGCTATTGTTGTTGCTCGTTCTTGTTGTTGTTTTCGCTGCTTTTGTCGCGCCAGGAGTTTGTCGCCGTCGCCTAACGTTTCCGTCAACAATCGGAGCGCTCGCGTCAAAGCTCGCTCGCTCGCTCGCTAGTTCGTGTTTTATTTTTGCCATATCGTGTTATCTTGTTTTTTTCGCCGAGTCTATTGTAGTTGAGTGCGCTCTGAAAAGAAGGAAGACCAGCGTTTGAGCACTTTGTAATAAACCTAATTATAATGCTTGTTTTGTTTATTTTTTTTATCGCCTGGCTGCAGAAGGAGTCGTTTGCCAAGCTGCATTTCGAGACAACAACAAAGAAGTTAGTGGAGCATCCAACGCTGGGTAAGCAATGGGAATAACAAAATGGCGCCGGGCAACTGTCAAATTGACAAGTTCAATAATCGAAAGTGTATTGTGTTCTCTTTTCCACGCACACTCACGCAAATTGTATAACGGTTCAATGCACCGTGCTCTGATGTCTGTTGCCGCATTTGAATTATTGCCGTTGTTGTTGCTGTCTCCTTTTGCATGTCGCGCACTGTGGTTGTTGTTGTTGTTGTTATTGTCTGACGCTTTGCTACACTTCCTATCAGATGCTGCGTCAGCTGCGCGTGTACCGTTATACGGGTTTGTGACTCAAATAACTGCAATTGCTGTTGTTGTTGTTGTTGTTATTGGTCTTGGGCGTTTTTTTTTTGTTACTTTTATTTAGTTTTGTTTTTTTTTCTGGTTAATTCGCCTTATTTGGCACAGTCCGCAATTTGTTTGTCTCAAATTTGGCGTAATTAAAAATCAAATTGATTTTTTCGTTTGCAAAAACACACGAATAAAACAACAGAAAAAGGCAATCAAATTGTCAGTTAGCAACAACAACAACAACAACAACATCGATTGCTGCAACAATGAAAAAGCAATTTTCGTATTAAACAGTCAGAGAAAAAAAAACTCAGTCAAGGCATTGGCTGCTTATTGTTGCTGGTGCCGTTCGCTTGCCACACGTTTGTGCCGCGTGTTGTTGTTGTTGTTGTTGTTGTGGTGTGTTGCAACAATGAGCATGGCTAATTTTCGTTATAACAAAAGTTAAGTACTCGACTCTTTAAGCTTTGCCCGTTGTTAACGAAACGGTTTTTGTTGTTGCGGCTATAGCAATAACAACTACAATCACTACAACAACAAAAACAACAACGACAACAACGACGACGACGACAATGACAACAACCAAGCGAAGAAGCAACGGGCCAACAAAAAAATGTTTATTTTTCTTTCGTGCTTGTTTCTTTTGCGTGGCGCTTAGGCATTAACCAACACTATCGCAAAACAACCAATAGAAATGATATTGCATTAGATTGGGTTTACTTTTTTCCCCCCAACTAAATTGGTCAATTTCTAAGCCTCTCTACTTGCGAAGATTAGCTAACATCAAAGTTAAGTACTTAATATACTATAAAGCCACACGAAACTGATGCAGCGAATGCTGTATTCCTTTTAGTGTAGCAAATGTCTTGTTTTATTTTTGGTCGATTAATTCCAACTAGAGCTACAAATACTCTTAAGCAGTTTCGCCTTTAAAGAAAATTACTTTCTAAGCCACAAAAACAAACACATTAAATTAGAACTTACCCCACCGGGAAAGAAATACGCAAAAAACATTAAAAAAAAGATACTTCCCATACCGGGAATCGAACCCGGGCCTTCTGGGTGAAAGCCAGATATCCTAGCCACTAGACCATATGGGATTATACAATCCCTTCGAAACTAAACATATTTATTTAAAATGGTTGCCGCTTATAGATTTGGTTAAGGCTCTTGTCCTAGAATAGAAAAAGAAAAAGATGTTCATTATACTCTGACCGCAAATATCCCATATTGTCTAGTGGTTAGGATATCCGGCTCTCACCCGGAAGGCCCGGGTTCAATTCCCGGTATGGGAAGTATTTCTGATTTATATATTTTGTGGCAGAATTTCATTTTGTTGTACTTAATTTATTGTCATTTTGATAGCTTGTATTTGAATAAAGGGTGCCTTCTGATTAATGCGCTATTAATCAACTGTTTTTGGTTGCCTCTCAAACATTTCCTCAAATGGAAAAAGGCCAAAAATCTCGAAACAGCTTCCACTTCACTTATTGTTGACCCCTGCTGCAGCCAATTTAATTGAAGTGGCTTTTTAATGAATATCAGCTAAAAATTGCTGCCACTCATGATCCGGCTCAACGAACTGCACACAGATGGGGTTTTTTCTCCTTTTGCTTCAAGCCCAGCTGCTGCTCAATTTCCAGCTGGAAAAACAGCTATAAAACGACTAATTCATCAAAAGTGTGGCAAGCAGCGGCCGGCGAGCCGAGATAGTGGGCCATTGTTGCAGTTGTTGTCGTTGCGCCTTGGCACGCCCACTTTTTGCTGCCTGCCACTTTCGTAGCAATTAAATCTTTGTTGTCTTTCGGCCTGTAGCTTTTTTTTTTTTGTATGCCATCATCAGCTTTGCTCGGCGTCATCGTCCCAGGCATTAGAAGCGCGTGTGAGACAATATGCGATTGAGCAAGAAGCGACGGCAGCAGAAGCAGCAGCAGAAAAAAAGGCACAGCATACAAATTAACATTTTTATAGTGGCTTTTTGTTGCCAGCAGCTCGCTCAAAGAAAGCCAAGCCCCAAGAATCGACGAGAGCAGCAACAGCAGCGAAGCAGCAACAAAAAAAGAGACATTCAACCGTTTTTTTTTTTTCACCCCCTCTGTTTTTCTGTTTCGGTTAAACGTCAAACGTAACGCCAACGCCAAGAGACACGGCTGCGTTTTATTTTTATTGTTAAACCAGTTGAGCTGAGTTTCAGCAAGAACAAAAGAGCAACAGCAGCTGCCGTCACCCTCGCACTTCCTAGCTACGGCTCTGAAGCTACGCTGACTGCATATTAAAGCTTTTTGCGACGATGTCTCTGTGGTTGTTGTTGTGTTTGTCTAAAGCTTTGTTATGCTTTGATTTTCGCTTCGTCTGGAATCCTTAACGCACAGTCTATAATCCGCTTGTTGTGGCGACCCCCCGTTTCGTTTCCATTGCGTTGTGCCGGACTCCAATCATTTGTATGTGTCTTGCCAAGGCGCTTAATCACATGCAATGCATTTTCTACAGCAAGCAGTGTCCATTTCGTTTCCAGTGTCGAAGCGGGGCTCCAATCATTTTAATGTCATGAATGCTGGCGCTTAATTACGGACATTGCATCTTCACAGTAAGCAGCAATCGCTTTGTTTTCATTGCCTTGCATGGTGTAGTTTTCAAAGCAAGCAGCTTTTGAATGTGTCCGTTTCATTTCCAGTTCGTTGTGCGCAAGTGGAGTATACCATCAATTTTATGTGTCATGTTGCCTGCCACTGAATGACGTTTGATGTAATTTCGACCATAAGTCGCTATTCAAAGCAAAGTCCCCAGTTTGAACTCTCATTAATATAATATGCCAGCAATTTCTATAGCAAACATGTCTTGGTTTCGTTTTCACTGCGTATCACACTTGTCAGGCTAAGCTTAATTCCTTTTTCATGTGCCACGAGCAGTGAGCTTTATTAAACTGTTTCAATTTCACTGCATTCCAGGCAGTGCAATATATACAGCAAGCAGTGTTCGGCTCGTGTCCATAGTGTTCCACTGCGCTTACAGCAGGCGTTTAGCTACAAACCATGTAAATTCTGTTTCGTCTCAACTGCGTAGTACTTGCCGGGATCCAATCAATTTCAGGTGCCATGGGCGCAGGCGCTTAATTACCTGCGATATTACCTGCACTTTTTACATTTAAAAACCTTTGGGCGCTTTTAATTTTTCGGGCCGCCTGTTGCTGCAGCTGCCGCCGCTGTTATTGTGACTTCTGAAGCGTGTGACCGGAGGTGAAATTTCATTTTTGATTATTTCGGCTAACTAACTGCAAGACGGCCAACTACAAACTACGACGTCAAACTGTCTAAAACTGGCGATAAATGCGCGCAGATACTTTGGCGTAGTTTGGCCGCGTTTGCGATTCGAATTCGCATTCGATGCTGCCGCTTTAAATGGACAACTGGGAGTGGGTCACACAGCTGCAGACTGTGCTGCAGCAGCAACAGCAGCTGACGGCAGAGACCAACGTAGCGATTATAGGGATGCGGATGGATACCCAGAGACACAGACACAGACACGGACACACAACGGCCAGAGACACAGAGCCAGATCCGCACTGGAGAGGCACAGAGACTCCCAGACCGGTTGGCGCGATCTTTTGCTCGTTCGTTCATTCGATCGCGTTGCGGCATTTTCGATTCTTTGCTTAAAGCGTAAATATTTCAATTTATTTATTGGTCATGCGTCTCTTCGATACCACTTTCTACCCGCTTGTCTGGCAGATGTATCTACATGTGTCGTGTCTTGACCAGCCCCGGACTTAACTCACACACACGCAACCAACTTAAATCTGTGTCAACGGCCTTTGACTTGCGAGCGGCGGCCCTTCTTGTAGTTGGGCCCCCGCCTCCGACAGACACGCAGACAACAGACAGTGGGCGTGCCGCCAGAGCCTTCTCATATGCGCATTTTCACGAACATGAAAATGAAATGAGTGAAAACGCTTTGCACTTTTTCTCGTCTCGTCGTCTGTGTCGCCTCTGTCTGCGCAAACAAAGCCAAAGAGGTGTGTACGACAATTCCAACTGCAGGCCATGCATGACCCGCGTGTATTATTCCCCCAAGGGGTAGGCGTGGGGCATGGTTAGTTGTTGTCTGATTGCCATGCTAAATGGCTGAAGAGAAAACTATGGCAACGGACAGCTCAATACCCAATACTCCCATAAAAACAAATCACGCCGAGCTGTCTGATTGAAAGTTCCTTACTTCACAATACCCTGTTTTCAAGTAACTTGTATCTAAAAGGCCAAAGAGCATTAAATCATAGAGTTTGTCGAGGATTTCCTTATTATTTGTTTCATTTATGGCATAATTATATTAACCTTTTTCTCTGAGACGTCCAAACACTAAACTAAGTTTCGAATCCGGACTCTCCGTGCCCAACTCATCTAAATAGGAATGTTTATAATATACCAATTTATCACTATAATCACCTTAAGACACCCCTTAGTTAGTATGCGTGCAGGGTATTTAAAAAGATTAAAAAAAAAAACTGTTGCCTGTCGCAATAAAATTTACACGTTTTCTAGCTGCACCTCACGACAAGTCGAATCGTTTGGACTTCTAGTTGGAATCGAAAAACGCAGAACTGAAAGAAACGTAGTGCGTGAGGTTTTTTAATGGATTGCCCGAAGAAGTTAGCATGCTAATTGGGTTGTATATCCCATGGCGTTGTGTGTAAACCGACCGGAGCGCACTTA